AATTGAGCTGCAAAAATAAGAGTCCAAATGAAAAAAAAATGAAATGCAAATTCTAACAACAAAGGACAAGGCAGGTCTGCAGTGAGTCAGTGTGAGACTGATTCTTTCCAGCACACAGACATAAAAGGAAAACCTCATGCCTCCAATCAGGATCAATGAGTTCAACAGACCGCTCCAGTGGGTACAATCCTAACCAGAACAAAACAAAAAAAGAAGCAGAGCGAGAGGAAACTTGTTTGTAGTCGACCAGAAATAAAATACACCAACAGATGCCAACAGGCCGAGTGGGAAAACTGCCTCTGAGGCAAGAACACTGCTGTGAGGTTCGGCAATAAACCTAAATCTGAGGTTATAAAGCTGCTTTGTCCCACAACGTTGAATGTAAAATGTATTTGAACACTTTGAGACTAACACTTGGATGCAGGACTGTTGCCTCATGCGTCTTGGGAACACACCAGAGACAGAAACACAACATATTTTTGGTCTGAGCAAAGGAGACAGCGGAGGCGAAAAGAAGAAGGGTGAACCACTGCTGAGTTAATATGTACATGCAACATTTGGAATTGCATGTTTTGTCACTTTTACAACTTTCAAAAGAGGTTTATTATCCTGGGAACATCCAGCTTTCCGCAGCAGTCTTCTCAGTGGATATTAAACATTATTATGTGAATATTTAACCACTGTTGCTGTCAAGTATTAGTCTATAACCAATTTCACTCTTCTCTTATCGGTTTCTTTTGGCAGTCAATGAATACGGCATCATTAAAGTAATTTAAGTTTAAGTATTCAGTTTGGGCCATTATGTCTATTTAATGTATCCAAACAGACTCATTTAATACCATTAAACCTATAAATGAGACATATTCTGTTTCCTTTGGCAGTTCACACGTGACTAAACTGGTCAAGTTTGTTTCCTCATGTTTTTTATAGTTTAGACAGCCTCAAGAGGACTGTGCATTACCACCGAAGGTTCTAAATAAGACCTGGATGTATAGCCCCGTTAGAGTTTGGTCTTTCCTTTAAAGTCCAAACAAGTCTGTAATGTATATATCTAATTACAAACAAACTCAGCTGCTTAATAGAAAGAACTAACAACAACTTAACTAAGTAGAGGAAGTCAGCAAAGTTTGTTAGTATTCTGGATTGAGTCTGGAGACAAACCCTTAACCTAAACCTTGACCTCTGAACATAAATTAGAATAAACATGTGCACACCCAAAAGAAAAGTAATAAAAGTAAATAGTCTTGGCAAAGCAGGTCAGGCAAAATGACGTGGTGCGCTTGTGGAGCGGGGTTGCGTGCGCAAGTGATATGTGATTAACATAAAATGGAAAATGGAGCTGTGATTCCAGTGTGAGGGTACTCCTCGTAGTGCAGTTTCATGAACTTCTTGAACTTCCTGAACACTAAACGTTCCACACAAGATGAAATCCCAAAAGAAGTACAGCAGTAAAGTGCAGCAATAAGTCATTTGGCCTTCAACATGACAGATCGTGTGGAAGACCACAATCTTTTAGAAGCAGAGGATCCAATCTTTCAAGTCCCCAAACCAACATCTCAAACTAACAGAATATTTACAGCTAAAACCAAGTTGTGGCTTCGTTACATATCATGTTACATTCTTATATGTAGAAATAATGGGTTGGCTGTCCAGCTGTGATACAAGCCAAGGAATACTGTGGGACTGAAATATCTGTGATAGCCACTGAGTAATCAACTCAACTGTGTGTTGAGTTGTTGTGTTGCCAAGTACATTTAGTTATTTTTCATATATATATATATATATATATATATATATTAATTTTACACCAGCAACACTTTATCAAATCTCTGATAAGCACAGCAGTGATAGATTGTCAGGAGCTTTTGCAGATATCAAAGTGAAGTCAAATGCTCATATTTCAAACATGACAGTCCAGCATTAAAAAAGTCCTTAAAAAATGTGTGTTTTTTTAGTTTTCTTTCGCATACAATTGTAGTGGTGATGAATTTTAAATATCCCAACAGGAAACCTCAGGATTGCGGACAGGAAATCCCCCTCTTAACCCAAACTGGGCTCCAATCAGCCTCTGAAGCAGCTTCAATGTAATCCATCAAATGGTGGTGTACATTATTATTGACTTTATCTGCACTGCCCTTTGGTCCTGGGCTCATCATGCAAAGCAATGTTCTTGTAATAGTGAGAAGTAAAGTTTGTACTGAGTGCACAGGGAAAAGCAAGCAGCAACTTAACTGTAGGGCGTGTTTGTCTATAACTTGGTTAGGAGTAATTGTGTGCACTTTTACGTGTCCGTGGTTGTACACATGCATTTGTGTATGTATATAAAACATTTTACAGAGTTGAGGATTGTGGGATAGCTCTGTGTTCTGTGCCTGCCAGCTGGAGGCGGTGTTAGCTGTGGTTGTTTAAGTGTATTTCGTTTCTCATAAACACCGAAGATATGCGTCTATACAGTTGGTACTAATGCATATGATGTGTTGTTCTGCACTGATGAACACAGTAAGTCTGAACACAGTATGTCAAATATTCTGATGAGGTTTAGCGATATGGTAACAAAATGATGAGGCAAATAAACACACTTGATAGTATAAGATGAAAAGATTTCAGTTTTGAAGTTTTAACTGCACATATTTTCTGTAGTTTATTGGTAAATACCTTTCGAAAAAAAAGGTGCTTTTTGGTGCTAAAGGCTTAAGAGGTCATCAAAAATACTAAGATTTATCCTGTGGAGACCATAGAAATAGAGAGAATACTGTATAATGGAGACCATAAGTTAAAGCTGGAGAACTTGTTTCTTCCTCCTGTGGCAGTGAGAGAAATTACACACTGTAACAAACACTGTAAATGCATACTTAAGACGCATGGCTCCAGGTGAGGTCGCCGCATCTCCTTCGCCCCCAGGAGTGTTTTCGCCATTGATCGCTTTCTTTTTTTGACTTTAATATTTTCTCTGAACGTTGTTTTTATCTGGAACATACATTGAAGTAACCTTTCTTGGGTGATTCTTAGGATGAAGGATTCCGAGCTTATGCCATACTCCTAGCTGCTGCTACGTTGATATGTTCTCCCCCCTTCACGACCCTGGTTGAGATACTGTAGGCTTCATCAGCATTGTGGGAACTCATTTGGCATGGGCGTGAATGTAAGGGACATTCATTTATATGTAGAAGTCCCGCACTCCAGCTTCATGATACCTTTGTAAATGAATGTTGGCACTACACATAGGATCCTTGCTGGACCAATCTTCCAAACAAAAATCTTTATGAAAAATATTTTTTTTCCAAAGGTTTTTTGTATATTTGAAACATAAGAGAGTTTGAGCAGCATGCTGCCAGACACCTGTTTCAACTCAGGCCTATGGCTCCTAATGAAGTGTGACTAACACACACACACACACACACACACACACACCCCTAATTATTACAATCAAAGACACAGGTCGTTCTGCATTAGCACAGTGCACTGAGATAAATGAACAGATGCAAATGGCTGAAGCAGGCAGCAACTTTGTTTAGTCCAGATTTGCTTTATAGGGCATGGAATGTCTCATCGAGTCTATGTTTTTTTTTAGTCCACCAGCTGCAGTCCCAAAAAGACTTTTCCTCATAAGTTTACATTGGCACAAAGACTTCTTTAACTCAGCGGACAATTTGTACTTGCCAATACGAGCACTTGAGTTAGCCCTTATTTAAATCATTAGGTCCTAAAAGTTGTGAAATACACCAATAGCTAAATCCAGAGTTATTCTCCTTCCTCCGTTCATGTGAATGAGCTTGAGACCGAGTGGTGGGGTTAAAGGAAAATCCAGTGTGCTTGATCTATGGGTCCATGGATGCAAAAGTTCCGGGTAATTTTATATCAAGGAAGTAAAACTTGTTTTTAACTCATGCACCACTGATCCACTTTCATAGTAATGAACAGGGCCCCACCTGGAAGGCTGTATCTAGTTGTCATCCATGGTTTTTCCCCCTTAATGTTCATGGCTAATTACTTTGAGGTTTGGCCCATACTGTGGACAACATAAACACTGGGGCCACTTTAATTCCTTTCCAGAATTGGTATTCTGAGGGGTTTTATAGGCCAGTGTGTATGAACATGTGTGCGTTTGTGGGTCTTAATACATACACAACCTTGAATCTGTGTGTGTGCAAAGCATGTGCGCACATTCATCATGCATTTGTGTGCATTTATGTGGCGGCTGTAATTCTCAGGGTGTGAAGTCGTTTAGTGGGTCGTTCGGTTGCAGGTTTGGTTTTTATGAGATGGTCTGTTTGCTGACGCGACAGGCAGCCATTGTTACTGCACATTTTCCCAGATGTTTAGTGCCCAATTACCCTCCAATCACATGCATGGCCAGACCCAGTAACTGGGTAACGTAATGGGCCAACACTGGGTCCATAAATCTGCAATCACACACGCATTTCCTCCTGCTTAGAACACTTTTGAGGGTGTGCATACCCACACAGAGCAAGGAGAAATACCAGAACTTTTGCACGGACACATTTGTTGTTGTGTTCGCTAACAGAACATCCAGAGTTGCGGCTACACAGACAAACAGCTTCATGAATTTTATTTAGTTTTTGGAAAGATTATATGGTCGTTGGAGACACACCTGCACTAAACCCCAAGGTTCCAGTAGGTTACACTAAACCTAACATTTTTGCCCTCACATGTATGAAAAGAAAGAAAAAAAGAAAGAAAAAAACAGAAATAAGTGAAAGCGGACATGGGGAATAAAGCTAATCTATTTAACCCTGAAATGAAATTCCAAACAGCCTAGTTGCAGGTGTGCAGTCTGCATATTGTTGATTCAGCATGTCTTGGTTTCAGTGCAGTAAAAGCTATAGTTTAAAGAAGCGGCTCATTTCAGGGCACCGCTGTTGCCATTTCTGTGTCACTGGTGCAGTTCGTCTGCAAAAAAATAAACAAATAGACTCCGTCTCACCCCTCTGAAACTTTATGTAAAATTCTTGATAAAAAACCCAGTCAGGGATCACCTCCTTTGTTAGAAAAAAAACTTTTAATTCTGTTAAATTGCATACAAGTACATAGCATGCATGGTAGAAAGACACTTAAATAAAAACATAAATATGCATTTAAATTAGGCTCCGTCAGAGACCCCACAACCAGCACAACTTTACAGTACAATAAAAGAGACAGGTCTCCAAGTTGATGCTATTTTTTCTAAATCAAAAGATCCTTAAACCTTTTAGCCTAAATTCTACATTGATCATGTTGTTGCCTGCATGTGCAGTAAGAAGTGTTTTCTGTGTGGAAACCATTCTTGTTGAACCTTTCAAGGTCATGATGGCTAGTGTGATTTGTTGGACTGCTGACTTTCCAAGTTAATGGTTGCCATAGTTCTGAATACGATAGATTTTATGACCGTTTTCGCTGCAGTGTCTACTTTCACAGTCAAAAGCTGACTGAACATATTGGTCTGCTTGATGTAGAGTAGCTGTGGTGAGCACAGTGGTGTGCAGGCATTTAGCAATTAGTGGACCTCCAATCAGGAGGCGCAAGTAATCAGTGAAATCAGCTGGTGTAGTTTGAATGTATCGAGTATCACAACACATCGATCACATTGGTGAGTGTTGAAGTCTTCGTCAAATGATAAATCAGTTAAGTGTTGTCACTGTAAAACTTTGGACATTAAGGCAGTGCTGCAAATTCAACATTTTAGATCAAATTTAAAAAGTATTGACAAACTTCACTGAGATGCACGTCCACGACACACTTTGTATAACTGTACAAAAACTGCATTTCAAGGCTTTACAATGTGTTCGTTGAACATGAAAGAAATGCACAGATTACTGATGTCCTCCTGAAGTATGAGTTTTTGTTGAGTCTCAAAAGGGTCAGCATTTACTTTTCGGTTCCATAATGACAGTTGCCGTAAAATGGAAACTAGCAATTTTGACTTTGACAATTTTACACACTTTATGTTTACATTCATAGGTAAGTATTTATATCTTAAACACAGTTTTTTTTTTTCCATTTTCTGATTAAAGTAATACAATACATGGTGTGACGTTACAAAGGAAGAATATCAACACACAGAATATCATCTTCATAGACCACAGCAGAACAGACAAAGTAACCATGTAGCTTTTTCCGTTACAAGACTAAAATATAAAATGATGTGACAATTTTAGGAGAAAAGGGACTTTTTAGGAGGGTTATTTTAAACATAAAACTTTTTTTTAATCTTTTTTTTTCCTGCCAACGGTCTCTTTGTTTCATGCATACTATCCTCCTGTCACACATACACACTCCGATAATTTTCTTTCCATTTAGATACAAATCAGAAGCAATATTTGTAAAGAAAACACCATTAGTAGAGTCTAATAACCAGTCTCACAATCCTCTAACTAAGAAAATAAACTAAAACGCGTCCTTAAGTGGGCTTTACTTACTGGGTAAAAATATGTCACCCTTTGAAATGCTCTCTGCATACTGATGAATTGTAGGAAAATGGGTTTTAATATGTATTACAATTTTTACAAGTCGCAAATACAGCCGTCACAAGATGCTTATAGTACCTTATTTTATTAAATCTCTCCTTTCTTCTCCACATGTTCGCTCCTCCTCTCTTTCTGTTGTCCTATAAGAAGACATTCACACGCCATGAAGGTTACAAAAAGGTCAACAAGTTCACTGGTGCTAATGTTGTTTCCTGGCTACGTTTAAACAATGAGAGGGCTCCCAGAATATCTATACCATCTTCCATATGTACAAATATCATATGGATTCCACCCTCTGGCGGCCATATTGGAGGTCCTCAGAAGCAACAGGCTATTTGTGAACAGCTGATTGTATTTCTGACTGTTTGTATCCCCAAATTAATCTGTAACTGATAGTTTCGCCATGCACTCAACCACCAACATGTAATCGATCACAGTACAAATGTAGATAATATCAGCTTGGATTTCTTACGTACACAGACTTGTGCAGGGACAAATATTAAAGGTGCAAGATAAAATAAATATCAAGGAATTAATCTGACAACTTTTAATTATGGACACATTATAGACGTATCTTTTTGTTGTTTGCTTATTAGGTGCACTATATGTAACCAATCATTTGCACGGCTCTCCTCTTGACCTCCAGAGAAGCCAGAGGTAACTAGACGAGTGATTCAACTCCAAATCCTCCTTTAATGTCTTCTAGTTACATGTGGGATTTAGTTAGAAGGGGTTAAAATCAACTCTCAAAACTACTTTTTAGTCTTAAAAAATATTCACAATTTATTTCTTCAGTTTATGATTATTTTTTATATTATATAATATTACTGAAGCTCCAAAATATCTCCCTGCCATCCACACACACTCCGTACTTTGACTGAAGCTGGCCATCCGTCTGTCTTTCCTTTTACATCTGAAGCCAGACTAGATTTCAGTTACAAAGTTACAATGTTCACATCTCACCCTATGAAAGGTCAGTCTTTTCTTTGTCTGTCCTGTCCCTTCATCTGCTTTTTCCTGTCTCATTAATAAATCCAACCCTCCGCTCTCTTCTCCACTTTGTTCCTGTAGAAGGGAAACCTCTTTTGGATTCAGTTGCCGTGAAGGTTATATTTTAACAACAAAAGTGAAGACAATAACAATGTGGATTACCATGTGTTCAAACCATGGACCGTCATAAAACCAGTGTTTACAAAGCAGAAAGCACAAGAGGAATTGGCCTTTTCAGATAAACCCTTCTACGGGAACTGTGGGAAAATGAGTTTTGTGGATGATTGACGTGTGAGGTGAGGCTATAACAGAGAGGTCAGGTTATGTAATTTCTACTTTAATGGATGATTTGTGAGTAATTTTTGAAAACAGCCACAAGTAATACAAATGCATGAACAAACAATTTGAAAGCAATGAATATTTGAAGGCCGACTTGCTAGGCTTGATAGGTGTTAAAGTCTCACAGACAACCGAGTTGAGGTACAGAAGCATTCCAATGGAAGCAAATATCGGCGATTGAACAGGGCCATTAGGTACATTCCAGGAGGTGTTGCGGTATGTGCCCAAAGGCATGAAAGTAAGCCACTGTGAAATATCCCTTTACGGGTCGGGGAAGGGGGAATCTTGATCTGTAGCTGGTGTTAATGGAAAGTTCAACCCACAGTAGTAACAATAAAGCAATGTGCCTTTAATCTGTTGAACCATCAACAGTCGTCTCATGTTGGCTTCCAGTTTGAGCTATTTGAGCTTATGCATTCAGTGTAACGGGTGAGTGGGATTTCAGTTTCTGTGTGTGTGTGTGTGTGTGTGTGTGTGTGTGTGTGTGTGTGTGTGTGTGTGTGTGTGTGTGTGTGTGAGAGCATGAACAGTGGCAAGATCAGATACAGCAATGCTTGATTTCCACGGCATAGTTGGGCTCGACTCTACTCATTTCTGGTAACGGGTGCGGAAGCATAGAAAGCGCTAGGTACTATCCACGACTTTTGCAAGAAAACCCCAAATGAACAGTTCCGAGCAAGTTGAGTCAAGCCGTGCCGTACTATGCAGTGGAAATGCGCCATAAGTGTCTTAGCCTGGGTGCATTAGTTGCATAAGCCTCTTATAAATACACTGCAAACTCAGTTATGTCTTGAGCTAGAGTCACACATGAATATGTCATTTAAAAAATAGCCAAGTGCAGAACACGGCAAGAAAAATGGAGCATTAGATACTAAGTGAGAAGGAGATCAATCCAGTGATTGCGTTGTCTGAAATGTGACAAAAACAAATGGAAACTAAGTGTATGTGTTTGTGTGTGTAGGAGCTGCACTTGCTCTGACACACATGGCCACACACGCTCACAAGTCCAAATATGCAAAGTCAGAAAATGCGATGTTGCTCTCTTTTTCAAGCCCCAATTAGCCAAGAGCCAACACAAAGTGTTCATCAAAGAGTCAGTCCTTAGGCATGTGAACATTTTATCAATCTGAGATTTGTGAAGCTTTTATATAACTTGATGTGATCAAAACAGTGTCTGCCATTTTCATCCGTAAAAGTATACAATGGCAAAAGTGTGTGAGAGAAGGAGGAGTCCTTGGTAATCAAGATTTTTAAAAAGCATCCTCAGAGTGTATTTGGAAGATTGTCTCTCTTTATAGCAACAGCCTGTTCAGTTCAGTAGCAGTCTCTTTTTGTGCGGTCTTTCAAGACAGACAACACTTCTGCGTTTTTGGGCCATATCCAGCCCCTAACACCTGGTCTACACATATATTGATATCATAAAATCCATTCTGTTCTGTTTAATGGCCAAAGCAGATGTTCTGTTGGGATCTACCTCATTCTTTCAAATCCAAGTGCCAAAGTTTCAACTGTCAGGAGTTGAAGCTGCTCTTGACCCTTTTGGCTGCCCCATTCATTTTTTTTCCTGTACTGTAATCTTTGTCCCTTCTTTTATTTTCTCCTTCTTTTCCCTCCCGCTCGCTTTCTCTCCGTTACTCCTCCCATGCGCTGAGATCTCTCGGCGTCCGGTTGCGTTCGCCGGAGCTCTTGCTACGTGCCTTCCTGGCGCTCTCCTGCGCTTGCCGGTATTTCTCCAGCATGCTCTTGTGTTTCCTCCTCAGCTTGTCGTTGCACCACATCCTCTCGCAGTACTCCTCCACGTGCGGCAGGTTCGAAGGCCCAATCAGCTGCATGATATCCTTGAACCATGTACGCGATTGGCCAATTTGGCTTGACGAGCCGCCCCTGCTGTAGGCACTACAAGGCATCCAGGCCCTGTAGCTCCCTGTGGACCGGTCTTTGAACGAGTCGGAGAGGCCAGCGGCGTCTCGGGCCATGAGCTCGTCCACAGTCTCCCCCTGGAGAACTTCGAGGGTGAGGCGGGCCAGGGTCTGTGTGAAGCCATGCTCTCGAGAGCGGCAGATGTACACGCCTTCATCCGGGCGGAAGAGACGGCGAAACAGGAGGCCTTGTTCCGTAGACATCACACGTTCGTCCAGCGTTACCTGAGTGAGCCAGAGGGAGAATATGTGTATTGTTTTAGCTTTTATACATAACATACTGTAAAATCAACAAATAATTCTGTTTCACATTGGACAGTGATTATGTAGTCTCATTGCTGCAATGCAGTAAAAAAGAAGTAGTTGGGATATATTATATTCTACACCTTTTAAGCAGCGCAAAGTTGCGAGTCAAGTGTGTTAGTTTCGAAATTCAAACCAAATTGAATGTTGCAAATATTTGCATTTACAAGAAATGTGCCTTTGTGGTGTATATAAAATTTCCAATTCCTTTTGTCTATAAATGCAGAGATTTTAAGTGGATAAACAAGAACCCAGTGACAAAAAAATGGATTTTAAAGCCACAGTAATTATCTTCTTTATTCTGATGACATCTTTGTTTATGGATAAATTCTTGTGAAAATTGTGCTTTCAACTTGTTGCTGTCAGCTCATTCTATCAGGAATATTTGGGAGAAGAGCATATAGTCAACTTCATAGAATGAGAAAAGAAAAAGGGCAAACTGGGGTCTTTGTGCTGTTTTCTCAGCTTGAATAGCAACAGCAAGAATGTATAAAATGTAGTCACTGTCTCTGCCTTTTTCTTTTCTTTCCTCTCAGTCTCTCTTTCTTTCCTCACCCCACCCAAAGTCTCTCCTATTCATTTACACCTTTCTCTTTTGTATTTACCTCCTTCCTCCCCCCTCTTCGGATTCCATTCCTCCGCTTGTCGAACTATCCCTCTGTGCCAACATAAACATGGCAGCCTTGTTAGCTGGAGTGGCAGCCAAATGTTTATTTGCACGAAATGGAGATGAGTGGTAATGCCTTTATACTTGCATGGCTGACCGAGGGACTCGGTTAAGCTTGGATAAACATACCTAAAACAAATGAATGATTACTGTGGGTGTGGGCACCCGGAGCAACATCATTTTCTAAGCAGCGCTTTAAAAGGACTTTGCATCGCTGTGTTTAAGTCACAGTGGCAGATAGACGTTGAGTGACACGTCAGCTTTCCATGGCATGCGGTCAAGGTTTCAATTCACTGTTTATCCAATAGAACGAGTGGTTGTGCATTTCCCTTTGAAATATAACTGCTTAATTTCAACCATATGTCAAATGGCTGTCGAATGTGTCAACCACGTGCCTAATCCACACGCAAATCTCTCTTCAAAAGGAAATGACTCTGGCCACTGTTGGCCGGTCCTCCCCGCTTCTGTCTCCCAAAGCTTCCCCACCTCCTCCCCCCATCATATATTTATATATATTAGGATAAGGTGGTATTTTATTACCACAATCTTGATTGATTGATCTGATGGCTGTTTACTTATCATCTTACCTCCTCCTTGTGGTCATCTCGTTGGACGAGCCAGGTAACAGTAGCTTGAGGGGAGCGAGGAACACACTCCAGGAAGGTGCTGTTGTTCTCCGTTCCATACACCACCCTGTCTTCTGTCACATCAAAGCCCTCTAGTGGACAGAGAGATTATTTGAAAGAATGTGAAAGTAAGAAAACTATAAAGGAATCCAAAAGTGAAGGACTTAACTCCTGTTATGGGTTAGATCGTCTCTACAGACACCTACTGTATATGTATAACATGTAAGCATCCGCCGAGTAAGCCTAAAGTCCTCTAGAGCGCCACTGTGAACAATGTGCATGTGAGACAGTTTCACACATCCCCAACTGAATTAAGTGAAGACATGTAAGTTAACAAAATAAAAGATAAAAGCCAGTCGAGACAAATATCTGACAAAAGATTTCAAACAAATACTTTGACATCTGGAAAATACGTCGATTTGTTTTGTTGCAGAGTTTAATGGGAAGCTTGTTACCACTCTCTGTTCAATGCATGTTCAATATGAACCTGGAGCCAGTTAGCTTAGCCTAGCATAAAGACTGGAAAGAGGTGGAAACAGCTAGCCAGGCTCTGTCCGAAGGTAACGAAATACACCTAGCAGGAAGTCACTGCTCCCAGCCAAGAAATAGCCCCACATTCAGCGTGTAAGTATTCCCCAGTGGAACAGAATATTAATTAACGAGTTTTAAAGGAGCTGATACCCTAGGAAGATATTTTTAGTGCCACTGTTTGCAGTCTTTCTAGTAGGCTAAGCTAATTGGCTGCTGGCTTTACCTTGATATTTAGCCTGCAGACATTTAGAGTGGAATCAAACTCGGCAAAAAAGCTTTTCTCAAAACGTCTAGCTGCAATTTGAACTGCAAACCTCAGAAAATACAGATGATATCAGTCGGATATGAAAGTGGTTTGGACACATAGTTAGTAAACCTGGCAGTATCTTTTCCTGTACCTTGTGAAAGGTTTACTCGCCAGACATTTAGAGTAAATCTTCAACAAATAGCGGACGGCTGAAGTTAGGATGACATTTCAATCTTAGCAAAGACAACACATACCTCTGGTACTTTTACTGTGGTACTTGTAATATGATCGCTGATGGCCTTTGATAAACTCAGTTTGAGTTAATCTGTCAATTTATCAGCTCTCTCTCTCTCTCACCCACACACACACACACTATCTTTCATTTTGTCTTCCTATCTTCCAACGTTCTTTAGGATGACGATAAAAATATGGAGATCAATCTTAAATATGTATAATGTTGTCTTCTAAGTACACTAAATATGTATCATGTAAATATCCATGTATTGTTGAGAAGTTAACATGTATTTTCTGTCTAATATCCTGCACAACGTCTGTTTCACACAGCTGGGATAAACTGCCAGTACAAATCTGACTTCTCACATACTCTTTGGATTTCATCCTGGGAGAGAGGCACTAATACACTGACCCTTACAGACTTTACTAACAGAACTTTGCTAACAGCAAGTGCAGAACATGACATTCACTTACAAGATGTCAGTTATCCAGCTGGTAGGATATTTAGAAGTAATTAGTCAAATGTGTGTTTGTTTACTTGAATCTCCTATCCAAGGACGTAATTCAGCTTTCCTTTTCCTCTCCAATTCTAAATGGTGGAGCAGATGCCGCATCCTGACCTGAATTATTCTAATACACCCAGCCTGGCTCTGTCTAACGGTAACAGTAAGTCTGACTATTATAATCTCTAAAGCTCATTAATTAATATGTTATATCTTGTTTGTTGAATCCATCCAAAAACCGAAGTATAAAAACTAAATATTGCCTACACGGGACTATTATTTGGGCAGGTGCTGTGACTTCCTGGAGTCTCGTCTACGCTGGTTGCCTGGGAACCTCACAGTTGCAACAAGACTCCAGGAAGTCACTGGACCCAGCCAAGAAATGGCCCTGCATAACAAAAAAGAAGGCACAAACAAAGAATTTATATAGGTCACACGTACCACTCAGATTCTGATCAACACACTGCAGCACAGGGTTTCCGTGCCTGATGTCCTGTCTGCGGTAGCGGCGTTTGCTGTTGGGCATGTACCGTGCGCACAGTGATCCATCCCAGGCGCAGTAAGGGTCTCTGGCCAGGCAGCACTCAGCGCAGGCTTTCCCATAAGTCTCACAGCGATGCAGCTTAACCTGCGCCACACCGGCTGGAGAGCCTACAAACAGGGCTTGCTGTTTGAAATCATGATGGTAGAGGAAAAATGGGCGTAAGATGATATGTTGGTAACAATAAGTTAATAGATATGAGCATTAAAGTTATTAATAGCATTCATATTAACGTACCCTTTTCACGGATATGTCCATCGATGTAATTGGAGTTGGCACCTGCAATAATAAAAATGATTCAGGCTTACAATTAGAAAAGCAATGCATTAAAGAACAGAATTATTCTTTAAGAATGAGGAGAAAATAATGCGACAAGGATTTCTTATAAGACATCTCTGTGGTTACTTATCTGTTAACTACAAAGAGGGTTTAAGAGACTTAGTGAAGGAAATAGGATGAATGGCTGCGTCTTCAATATGGCCAAAAAAACTGTTATTGGGGAGAAAACGGAGACCAGAGAGAATTAAAAAGACACACGATGGGGTAAAACTTACTTTGAAGACTTGTAGCTCCTCCAGTGTGACCTCCTCTGTCTCCAGGCTGTTTCCACTGTGCAGGGCTATGACTTTCAATACCATGCCAACATCTGAAAGACACAACCACGTATCATAAGTGACAAGGTTACAGAACAGGAACGTATCATTTCATGTTATCGCAAATTATCCTCTGACACAATAATCCAGGTTCCCCACAAGGCCTAGTTACATGCTCATATTACCTGTGCCAATGAACATGACATCATACTGCCCGTCCTCTGCCTCGACCCGGTCCACCACGATTTGTTTCAGCTTGTAAGGAATGTTTGCCTTTACAAGCACAGGCTGGCGCAGAGCAGGATACACCGGCCGCCACATCAATGGGTGGCTGCGGGCAAACTGCAGCACTGAATCAGGGAAGTCCTTTGTGCTGCCAAACTCTCTGCCTGGCTGGTTGGTGATTTTACTAGGGCACTGGGGAGGCGGAGGGAGGGATGAGAAAGATGTGGAGAAACAAAGGAAAAGGGAGAAGGGTTATTAAAAAATAATGTTGGTAAAAGTATAATGGTAAAATCCTTGGCTGGATAAATGTCGATGCTACACTGGAAGAGAGAGAATGGATGGAGTCAGAGACAGACGAACAGAAGCGAGATAGAAGGAAGCAAAATTCTGGCCATCCCCAACATGACCATCTTCTGTGTTCTCCCAACAGAAATTTGGCCTAATCATGGTCTTAGAGCTGCTCTGTGGTGCTTAATAATGCCACTAAAGCTTTGAAATACTTACAATTGACCTGAGAGGCTTAACAACAGTTTTTAAGGGGGAAGTTGGATGACAGAGATGTGCTGTGCTACTTTACTGTACTTTTCAGTACAGAAAAGTAACAGCAGCAGTGACTGCCTAAAATGAAAAGCATATGTCAAAGTCATGAGCTGACAATTATCATAAATTAAGGCTGAGTCACGAGAGAGCAGTTTGTCATTTGACTACTCGGTATTTGTATAAATGTCAATATTGCTATTCCAGCCCGTGCTTCCATATGGTAGAAATATTGTTACTCCAAACTGATCCACACAATAGCTTTTTAATGGTCTGGATTCAATTTCAATTTCAGAGGGGCGGGGGATCTGAACTGTACAGGGACGTTAGACTCAAATCTGCACAAACTATTGATGTATGATCACTCCTCCGAGTATGGTTTGCTAAATGGCGTCAATTACAATTTATTGCAGAAGGTGTAGAATTTGTAAGCAAATCCAAGCTCATTATCCAAGTCGCTGACTTCAAATGCTTCCTTAAAATGTAGATTTACAGTTGGACTTTTCTTGCATGCTGTGCTGTTTACCTAAGCTGTGAATAAGATGTATGCCAAAATTAACACAACTGTTATTTTCAGACAGAAAAAAACTTTTGTACTTCCCATTAGGAACTGAAGGGACTATTCTTTTTCAAGATGTATTTATATAAGATCTCAACACTCATAGTTGTACAGTTTCTAATGCACATTCTTGATATGTCAGTGTTTTAAATTTTTCCCTAAACTACCCCTCATCTGTTTGCACAGCACTTAAAACCGAAAATGGAGCAGTTCCAAAATCTGTTGTCAACTCATCCAAACTTTGCTGCAGCAAGTCGACTGCTTTCAATCCGAGAGCCAACTGGAGGTAAGCATGTTTGGCAGACTTCTATCCATGCCCATTATAACTGTGTATGTAAATGTGTTTGCATGTATGTGTGTACAGTGCACATTGTGTAAGCCCTTTTGTATTGCATTCAAATTAAATTACTCCATTATAACAAATGGACCCAGCAGAGGAAAGGCAGATTAGCTGAGGTTCAAATCCTGGAAAGTGAATTTCCTCATTTTTACAGGAACCTCTAGTTGTGCTTATACTCTGCTGTAATTGTTCTATACACAACCACAACAGAATCCATTGTGATTTACAATGTAATTGTGTTGCATGAATCAGGGACCAATAAAATACCCACTGGCTGCTACTGCCACTTAAATGTCAGTGCAGTGGAAGAAAACAGCTCAACATGGGAAGAAGGGATTTTGCCTTGTTGGCAAACAGACATTTAAAGAAGTTAGCAGAATCCTCTGTTTGAATTAAGAACATCGATTATATCCTTTGATTTCCTAACTCAAACCAAAGAAGTCAGTTGACGTTCCCTAAACAGAAATGGGTAAAGGATAAAAGTCAAAGAAAAAGATATAAGCTGCGAAAGTAATGTATTAGTCATTTTCATGTCAGAAATCATTCTCAAGAGAAACACCCAGATACATTAAAGATGTATGGATCATCACGGATAATGGTAACAACCTAAAAGCTTGACATTTAAGTATCAAATATGAAGCTTTCATGATGAAAATAGATGTCTGTGTGGATGAAAGAGGCAGACAGACAAAGTTCAGTCCAGGTAGGATTACTAATAAAGCTTTGATAAATCTGCCGTCTAGGATATCCCATCATTTCCTCTATTACAGGATGAGTTTTGACACCATGTGCAGTGATATTTCAATCTAAGATAAATATAGAGGGATAATAGAGGGATAAATCCGCTAAACCTCTCTCGCATGAACTCAACTTGTATTTTCCATTCCAGCGTAAGTTTTGACAGGTGAGTAAGGAGACGTGATAGATATTACAAAGTATAAGTTTGCAATGAAAAATCCAGGAAATCCTTTTTTTTTAAAGTTAATGTTCTGTCTGTTGCAAGTGAGACAATACTCTGGAGAAGACTGCCATGTCGAGACTAAATAAATGATAAAATGGGTCATTTTAATTATTTTACAAGAGAATAGGGTGACTATTTTAACTCCAGTTAAACAAACATGAAAGATAGCAAGCCGTTCTTCGTCAAATTACTTATAATTAATACTTTAATAAGAAACATTCTATCTTCTCTCCTTCCGATCTGTCCCCCCTCATCCGCCTATACCCCGAATGATCACCTTTTTTGCCTGTTTCCTCTCTTCCTCCATTTCCTTCCCTCTCTCTCTTACACTCTCAGTTTTGGGCCAGGACATTCTTGTTAATCAGCAGAGTCAGCAGAGTGAAACCACAGAGGTGTTTTTTTCTGTTCTCACATTATTCATATTTCATCTGCCTCCATATGCCCTCCTGCACTCTGGTAATGAGGCTGAGTTACACACGCTGCATGCTTGTCTGTGTGTGTGTGTGTGTGTGTGTGTGTGTGTGTGTGTGTGTGTGTGTGTCTTGCCTTACACGCGTGTGTTTGTGTGTATAACAGGTCTGAATTGCAGTGATGTGGTTGAGAGCACGTGAAAGAGCTCTGCTGAGAGTCAGGACGTAAACCAGGAGAAGGCTCTGTACTGTGTACAGTCAGCACAGCTGCACTGCCACATACAGTAGTTTATTTTACTGATATGAAACTTTCCTGCGCCTCATTTTTCATGGTCTTATCACCGTTTCTGTTTTAGCACACGCAGTAGGCCTGAGCAACCACTTCCCCTAAGAATTAGATTCGTACACACCTGTATTACATTAGCCTACTTAAGATGTGATTTAGGTACAGGCATGGTAGTGTTTAAACTATTAGGTATACCGAGCTAAAATATCTCCTGCAAAAAAAAAAAAAAACGACCTTAATGAAGATTCTACGGTTAACGTTTAGTTGAAAGTGTTCAATGATCATTTTTTAAGGCTGTAGTTTGTGGTGGTGCTGCTGCTGTGTTTTAAAACGAGCTTTGATGTTCTCATTGTTAATCCAACCAAAATAACATTGCAGTGTTTGAAATGAATGCATTGATCAGTTTCTCAGTGTCAGTTTTAGATATAAATCCTCTAACTTGATGTTTTTTAAGTAGAGATTAAATAGATTGTACAGGATGAATCTGGCAGGTTTACTTGATGTGTGTTGTTTCCCTGATAAATAAACGAATAAAGAAAGAAAAAAAAAAGATAAAAAGTTGATTGAGTTGTTATGGTCAGGTCGGCATATAAAACAACTCTGTATTACAGAGATGGGGACTTTTGAGTCTTTAATTGTTAGCATTTTTTAAGAACCAATGACATCAGTATCTTGTCTTTAATTGATTACCAAAAAAAAGAAACAACAAATAATCCTAGACATCAAATGATTGAGATTGTTGATGTACCAGATTGTTTATATGACTGAATTCAGCTGAGACTATAGAAATGTAAAACTGTGTGTCATCAGCATACTAAGGTAGTACAGCTTATGTGTCCTCATAAAGTTGCCAAGCAGAAGTGTGTTGTATGGGAAATATTGTAGTCATGGTAAGTGCAGTGTGTTTAGGAGTTAGGGTTGGGCAATCATAACATCGGAGTACATTTTGGGTTCGAGGTGATGTGTAATCACTCACCACGCCTGGTCTTGGATAAGGGACCCTGCCTTCATAGGCCCCCCACTGGTAGTCAGGGCCCTCTTTATGAGCGAAGGGTCCATTGAAGGCTTCTCTGATGTCAGCCATACGGTAAACACACACGGCAAAACCCTGGAACACATTGCTGTGGAGGAGATAGGGCAGATATACAGTTGAACATTTCCACTTTTTTATTCATATTATATATTTGACAACAAATGTGGGAAGATTGAGTTACATTTCCAAAAAACATGAACTTGTAAGAAAATAAAGGTAAAAATTAAGTAGTATACCGCAATAACAATAATACGTTCGGCAAAAACAACTGTACAGAAATACAGCTGATGATATATTGCTCTCATATGTGATAGTGGAGTTTTTTAACCACCACGGGACACTACCAACTTACAAAATAGCAAATATTAAATTACTTAGTCTTCAGCAGTTCTATAAGCCAGGACACACATTTCAACCTTTCAGTGGTAGAAAAATCACAGTATGAAAACCACAACTGAACAATTAAGTGCTTTGTACTTTCTCCGAGGACCTCCAAGGTTGGTAATATAAAGGTAAAATAAGGCAGAATATTTAATGTGTAGATAACCTGTAAACACATATGAAGCTTCATGGTTATTCACCTGATAGTGCTGAAGATCGCATAGACATCTGGGTTCCTCTCATCCTTGGTCCTCAGCAGGAAAACATCCTCTGTTTTGTATTTTTTTTAAAGGCCATTTAGTGTGCGTGTTAGATACTGAAGGCTGACATTAAAGTGTGTGATCTTGTACTCTAATGCATGCAAAAGTAAAACCTTGTTAAAAAAGGTGTGTGCGTATCTCACCCAGTTGGTTGAAGTGTGTGTCGATGCCGTGAGGTCCTGGTACAGAGCAGACCAGTCGGGCTTTGATGAAGGTACTCCACTTGTTCACCAGCACTCTCTGGCCTCCAACATCATTCTGGAATAAATGACATTACACACAATCTATAAAACACAGCTGCATATTCATTTCCAAACACACATTTTTATTGTTCTGGCTCTGCACTCCAGCACACTGTGTTGTAGCCCAATGATATGACGCGGAGAACGGCACTCAAGGATTGTCTCAGTGGAAAAGATGTTTTTGCTCTTCTCTCGACTCGCTTTGGTAAGAGTGTGATCAACAGATGGTCCATCCAATCACCTGCCATGTCTTTTTTTTATATCCCATGCTCTTTTTCAAATAGTCTCCAGTGACGGCTTCTCATATGGTTCTTTATAACAAACCCTCTGGGGTGTCAGGTTAGGAAAAGAGGGTTGAGGAGGAAATACATGTAAGATATATGTGTAGGAAGGGGAGGGAAAGAGAGACAGATGGTAAGAAAGAGGAGTAAGAGAGGGTGAGATGAGGGTGACAAAGATGGATATAATTTGAAGATTTAGATGGGATTGTGTCAGAGAGTTTGCGCAATGAATCAAAGTTTTCTGGCGCAATTAAACAGTCTCTAAGGAAATACACAGCTGTCAGTATTTGCGTGTATTCTTCTATGCATACCTATATTTGTGGATGGTGCACATAGCACACATGGTTTTCTAAGACAAATCAATGTGTGAAAGAATGTGACAGAGTGTACAGAGTGTGCAGAGGAGATGGGGATTACAGTTGGCCAATTCGACAGCTGTGTGGGTTTTGGAAGGAGAAAAAATTCACATGATTCTGAATATCACGATGCCTTCACAGTGCTTTTAGGAAATATAAATATTATATTGCTCCAAAAGACATTCGTTTTTTCTACCAGAGGGTTTGGAACTGTCACAAGAGCAGGATAAACCCATAAAACCATTACCTCCTGTCCTTGGAAGCAAACATTTGAATGGGACCATGTTGTCATACAACCCTCTTCCAGTGGACTACAGTGGGAGTGTGAATCTATTCCTTGGACTGAAAGGCCAGGTGGAGACTCAACATGTAGGATCCCTAAAGTGTCTTTCTTCCAGAGAACAAGAAAGCCCCACAGGACTCCCAGACTCTCCCAGATCACAACCTCTTCTTCAAGTGAAACACGCCTGCAGATGTCTCATTCCCGGGACTGGAGTAATCTCTCAATCTTTCTGTGTACATCTAACTAGAGTCTTTGGATTAACCTGAGTATGTGGGACAGTGTCCCTGGAGAGGCAACCTTCTCTTGAGTTTTTCATGTGACGCCACAAGACTCAAAACCTCTACAAGTATATAAATAGCAGTTGCCTGTTCCAATAGAAACATCATCATGTACTACAAAATCAATGTGTTTGCATAAAGAGTTTATAAAGTATCTCACCGCACACACTCGTCCGACACGCGTGTGTATGGCCCCCTCCCTGTCCCCCGGCTCCGTGGCCTTCTCAGTGAAGAAGAAATACACTTTATCGTTGTCTTTGTCGTCGTTGTCTGGGATGAGGTGGGCAGCGATGAACTTTGGGTCTGCAGAGGAAGACGTGAGGATGGATGGAGAGTTGGTATGAAAAGAGAGAGTAATCAATTTCAACCTAAATATCATAAAAAACTCTTGTCGTAGCAGCAGAGCTCATCTTGCTGCTAAAATTGAACATATACATATACAACCGACCCTGTATCTTTCTGAGACGAAACCAATGTGGTCCCCCTCGTGTCCCTGCATGACACTGAATAAGGATAAACATGTAGTTATTGCCATCACTGTCTTTAATCCATTCAACAAAGACTTTGTAAGAATTTTAGGTCTGTTTTGTGTCTCATTCCAGAAGATTTCCTGCAAAAAAATGACACATAAGTCAAATGAAACATAGCAGGAGATAGTTTGTGTTTAACCAAAGTCATTGTGCTTTTGCTTCATGCTACTTGATTAACCCTCACTGGTAAAATGGACCGGATGATGAGTTTGAAAAGGCATAATATGATAAAGATAATGCACTCCAAGGTGTCCTGATATGGAAAATAATGTAGTTTAATTTACATTGTGTCATTTCTGTATTGAATGTAACAGGTTGATAAAACAGTGAAATGTTACCATGCAGAAGTTTCTGGTCAGTCTCTGTCCTCATGGTGGAGCGACCTCCCATACTCCTGAAGATCACAGAGTCTCTCCCCAGGAAATCTGCAGTCAGTCCTGTATACAGCTCCCCACCTAGAGAGAGGCAAGGCAGAGGTGGTTTTAGAATAAGTTTTAGAGTTTAATAAGAGAGAGGTAGCGGAGGAAAAGAACGGATAAGTACAACAGGAAAAATAGGGAAACGGTGGAAGGGAATAAAAAGGAGAGACAGGAGCAGATGTGAAGAAACAGCAGCAATTAAAGGAAAAGGATAAGAAAAAAGAAAAAAGTTGGCACAGAAGAAAAATTAGGAAATCATTGGTGACAGAGAAAAAAAATTGTGGTTCAGGCAAATGAGGAAGGGAGGGAATGAGGAAATATAACAAGTCCAGTATGCTGTAGAATACATAGAGAGAGTAATGTGAAACCAAAACTTAATCGCACTTTGTAGAGTACATCCTCCTCTGAGACCAGCATGGAGTCAGTCTGATGTTTCAAGCAACTCAAAATACACAAAATCTTTCCTTTGGCACTTGGAAAAACCTTAAGCAGCCAGGGCTATCAGCTAGACAGCAACCTCAGCTAGCTTGGAGACAGAAATCCCTCCAACTCAGACAATGAAGAATTATGAGGGACTTTCTTTGAGAAAAAGCCTATTTGTTTTATTTTCTTCCCAGCACAGTGACCACTGTATAAAAGAAGTCTACTACAGACACAGCGATCTCATGGGGTACATGTATTCTTATCTTATTTGGCTGCATTCATGGTATTAAAAACACACACATCCTTCTATACCTTACTGACAGACGCAAACACACAGTAATTGGGGATGACAGGGCCTGTTGAGCTTTGTGTATTTTGGGAGAAGATCCTGAAATTATTGGGTTGATAGCTGAGGAATAGGACTTTCATCATCTTTTACCGTTTCATTCTTGGCATCTCTTCTGTTATTTTTCATCACACGCTGTAATATGTTGGTCAAGCTCTATATTTGTATGCCTTTGTGCGTATTTAGTATGTCCGTGCATGTAGGTGTATTTTATCCATTGTCTCATTATTTGTTTCTTATTTTACAGATTAGTTTCAAGGCTGGAGTACTTTACATCAGAGGAAGAATGAAAATGGGAGTGTCACATGGGCCAATAGGAACCCTTTTGCTTTTTGCAAGGGTTGAGGACGCCAACAGATCTGCTGAGTCAGCGTTTTCCACTTTTAATATGTTGAAAGTATCATTTAAACTGGTGCAGCCGAACAAACCCTTCTCTCCCAGCATTCAAAATGTCTATTTATCAGTCAGTCTTAGAATATACTTTTTAAGGCCTAATGACATTCCTCAACAGCTTTGTGTGCATTGTTTTTTTTATCTATGTTTCCATGTATGCTCCCGCTGAAGTCCAAACTATTCAATACTTGGTGGTAATTGAATGCTTTCCAGCCAAATACAATGCTTTGTGGGATAAATTCTGATGCTCAAAGCACCCAAAGCAGCTGCAAATAGAGGAAAGTGGGATAGAGGGCTCCACACACACACACACACACACACACACACACACACACACACACACACACACAGCCTCAGCAGCTCCCTGGATTGTCTGTCACTGGTATAAATCAACATTATTTCGGAAACCAAATATCTAATGACATTCAGAGAGAAACACCCAGAACTGTTTAACCTATTCAGCACAACTCCAGAGTGTGTGCATGCAGTGTCAAGAGCCGAAGAAGGAAGGTGGTAGGTGTTCTTTATGTTATCATTTGAAAACAAAGCAGAGATCCGCCCCGAGAGGTGAAATGTGTAGATACAGACCTTCTGTGTTTGGTATTTTAAATAGTTAGTTGTGGAAGATAAAGATACCAAGCAACAACAAGTCCAGTGTTAATATGACAGCTATGTCACAACGGTCAACTTGTGAAAATTTTATGTTGTTATGAAAGTTACTATAAGGAACTTTTGACTAGTTATGAGAGAGTGTCAATATAATACTGATGCCTCTATGACGAACATAAGTAAACATGAGCATCAGCAAGAATACTGGCTATTTCTATAAAGCTATTATTAATGCCTGTCATCAGGCCCGATTGCCCACGGAATCAGACAAAACGATTTACGGCTCTCAGGTTCACCAGAAAGTCCTTCAGCTCGGACAGACCCAAACCCGGTTTTGCTGCAGCCTTTGAAATGCAGTCGAAGCTCCGGCCAGAGAAGGAGAGCGTGGGGAGCAGCAGCTCCTCCTCCGGCCACAAGTAGAGCTTCGCCTTGCTGCTCCACTTCAACATCGACTCCACGCGACTGGAGGCCCAGGTCGTGTTGCTGGGCCTTCAGTGGAGGGAAGGGAGTCATAACAGGACCAGAACCAGGACTGAGCGGGGCAGACCACAGGAACCGGCCAAATCAACACAAAATTAAGACTTTGTGCAATGGGAGAGGGATAGAATACCCATCTTTTAGATCTTAGATTCTCAGTGTTCAGTTTCTCTCTCTTTTTTGGGGTATTTCTGCTTTATTTTGACAGTCTACAGTGAATAGGAAGACATGAAACAAGAGAAGAGAGAGGGGTATGACATGCAACAGTTTTTTTAATAACATGGTATAAATAACGGCCAAATTACCTTTGGAAACTGGACGTCAACCCGAATCATATTAGCTCCATAAACCACCGGAGGATTGTTCGAGAATTATAAATATAGACAAACCAACATCGGACGTACCACTGAAGGTGCTAGCGAAGGGGAGGCTGGGGTCATGTGGAACTTTGCCTCTTCCATTCTCCACATTTGTAGGATCCATGGTGAACACATGCTGAGGAAGAAAATGACATGGAGGATTATACATCATTCATTTCAGCATGTGGTCTGTGAGATGAAATGTATCAAAACTGTTTTCAGTATTATCTTATGTTCCAGATTTATTTGTCCTCCCATTGAACTCCGCGTCCGTCTGAGAAATAAGACCGTCTGAGAGACGAGGAAATGCAGGATCAGTGCAGTTGCCAGAGTTCAGAAAAAGTTCCCCACATGGTTCCGAGTACAGATCAGCCCCAAGAGCTGAACTGTGTATTACGGAGCCAACAGGGAAGGAAAAACAAAGGACATAACCCTGTTAGCAAATAAAAACTACACTTAATATTGAAACTTTATCAACAAAAAAAGAATTGTGACAGTTCATATGAGGACAGGTTTCATGAAAACTCACTCAACACACACAGTAACTGACCAAGAAAACAACAATGTTTCCACTCTCAGGCCAATTTAACAGAATCCAAAACATATTCAGGAAACCATTTTCATTCATGTTTTTGTTTTGTTGAGCGCCATCTTTTGTTTTTTTCCCTGTTGGACAGGAAGTGATGTGATTTATGTTTTCAACAGCAGCAACACTGTTTGGAAGAATACAAGAGCGGTGTCAGATTGATCAAAACTGAAGAAGTTCATGGATAAACCTTCATGGATCCGCATCCAACATCAAACTGCAGATTGTTTCAGTGAATACATGAGGAAGCAATTAAAATAATAGAGCGGTTCTTTCTTCGTCACTCACTAGTTAGTCAAGTTCACCTGACGAACACTCGCCACATCCTTGGATTGTGTGATTTGCCAGGTCAAAACGGGGTCACTGTGGACAAAAGACCTTTTGTTCTGAGACTTTCTACTCCCACTTCAACGACATCAGTGTACCAGACTGCTGCTTCTGATCAATACGAGTCCAAACGTAGTCGACTTTCAAAAGACAAAAGGGAACGCAAGGCGACAGGACCTACCAGTGAGACGTCCTGTTTGATTCCACGTTAATGATTTTAAGTGTCCTTACAGTGAACTGTGTGTGTGAGACTCTGTTCCTCTTATAGACAATGGAGTATTGTTATTGGGAGGGTGAGTCTTCGACTGAGCAGCGATCACAGGGGAGATGATGACATTGAAATCAGCGGTGTAAAAATACTGTTGCAAAACACAGTGGACAATATGCACACCCACTTCACATCAAGTTCTGTACGTGCACCAACACACACTCACACGTGGAGAGTGTGTGTATGGACACGTAGTTCACTGTATGGACACGGGCCACGGCATATTCACTGTCAGACACACAAAATAAGATTATACATACACTGTAACAGGTCTCAGGAAATAAGGTGAGGCAGTTCATTTCTTATTTGATCCACATGTGGCTTTTTCAATGTTCGTAAAGAGATTTGAATGAGTTTTACAGGTGTTAACGTGCACATGTACAGCCCACCAGCACACACAACACACTTATACACACACACACACTCACACTTCATTGAATTTGAGATGATGAGGGATATTTAAAAGGTTTACACAATGTGATGTATGTGGATTTCTGTTGTCATTTTCACTTTTCTTTATGCACGGTATGACTATGTAGTCATTTATTTCTTAAGTTGGACCACATGTCTTTCAGAATTGGAAACGCATCATTTGAAGAAAAGCGCTATTTACTGAGAAATCACATGCCAGCAGCAAAAAGAGTGGTATTTTGTGCAAATACCACTTTTTTTATTTTTTATTTTTTTTATTTTTTAAAATTATACCAATACTGAACATTTTCCTTTCTTACTTCCCTCTATCCTGAATTTCTGCTCTTATTTCCATCTGTTTTAATGCTCTCCATCTCATTCTCTGTCGAGGTCTTTTAGTTTACTCGTTAGTCTTCCTTATTCTTTCAGCACCTCTTCGCTCTTTTGTTACTGAAGTGAACGTCGCTGAATCGCTGTGTTCCTCATCTGAGTGTGTGTGCATGTGACGTGAGTGTGTGCTTGTGCACTTCTGTCCCCAATTTTCCACTGCGCACTTGTGCATCTTATACGTTCAATAGACTGTGCAGTTTGGGGGTTGTGTGTGTGTGTGTTATCTTCTTATGATCCGGATGAATGGTGTGGCTGCCTGTGCAGCTGATTAGACTGTCAGAGTCACTTTGGCCAAGCTCTGCCAAGATAACTACACACAAGTGCTGCGATACACAGAGAGACAAGACATCCAGGCCACTTTGTACTCAGCTGTGCCAAGCAAAATACATCAGGACTTCCTCTGCCAAACCGTTTAGACAGGTGACTACTGACACACACATGTGTCACACATGCACATTGGTTTCATTTTTAACTTCGTTGACTTTTTTTCATTCATTAGCTTCTACCTCTTTATTATAAATCCATTATACAACCTTACCATTTACAAATCTATATAAACAGATTCAGCATTCATATGCAGAATCTGTAGGCAACGGGACACGGATTTTGGTATCGTTATGGAAGCGTTCTGGTTTCAATTTGTGGTCCAAGTAGTATTGACCAATCACGTCGAGAGGGACTGGTTGAATGCAGGTAAACAGTCCTTGTGGAGATCTCAGAACCCACTGGCTATCATCTGGCGTTGATTTAAATTTGTATTGGTTAAAAAGTAGCATGTAAACTGGCTACTTGTGAAACATTCCGGTCGTATATATGTAGTCTCTCAGTTCCAACCCCACTCTCGCATCTCAAGTTAATCGAACTGTAAACAATGAGCAGTGGACGGAAAGGAAAGTCTTGGCCCAGATATCCACTGGCTACATGGGAACCCCCAGAGATATAGTCCCTTATCCACAGAGGCTTATTGTTGTCAGACCAATAGCCGATGGGTTCGAAGATTGCCAGTTTTCAAAATCAAAACCGAATGCTGGCTACAATCTTCACCCTAAATCAGCTGCCTTAAAGTGACATTGAAATAACACACTTCCCCTATTTCGAAAGAAACGTTTGAATTTACTAGCCATAAAACGCACCCTTGCTCAATTGAATACACCCAGACGTTTTACTGCTACAGCCTTAGCAAGCCTGGTATGACCATTATCTTATCGTTTCTAACGTTACCACTTCTCTCTACTTGTGCTAATGTTACACCATGTTTTAGCATTTAGCGTTCTCACGTTATTGTCCTTTGGGGCCACAGTGGTCCCTGCTCAGTAAAGTTACACGGTCTCCCTTTAATGGAGCAATCCACCCTAAAACATAAAAACAACTGCTAATGGATGTGTTTTGGTATCAGTTCCAAAGAATCAAAGAGCTTCTTCTGAATTATTTCCAGATTCACCATTTTTGCAACAACATTACGTCATACACTGTAGAAAAGTCATAGATGCCACTAATGGACCAGATGCAAAGCAGCCACAAGACAAAGTTGCACTTATACATAAAAGATTTGAGTCACTTGCTCTTATAACTGAGATTTTCCAACCACTGACTGCATACGACCTGTCCAGAAGTGTCTTTGTGTTTTTTCAAAGGAATTCAACAAATTGAAAGAAGTAACTACTATAAGTCATAGCAACGTGGGAAACCAAGTATTTACCTTCCAGCCAACAAATGTAAATTCTCGGTTTTCCACCCTACTATATAATAAACTCTAACACAAGAGTACAATGCTTCTATTCTGTTACAAGTCACCCAACAGAGATGCAGTTACATGTACCATCTCACATGGGATTTTCTTTTGAGTGAGTCAAGACATCCACCTTTTGGTCTCCCAGCTCCTTCCAGCCTCTCATCTTCTTCTCCACCCTTCTCCTCTCTTGTCCTCCCTCACTGTTCATGTTTTGATGAAGAAGAGGTTGATGCTACATGAGATTGTACAATTCTGAACCAGGGTTGCCCTTTTAAAGTGAATGATTCAAAACATACGTCAAGGGTCTCAGCTTTTTTTTAATTATCCATGCTTATTATTCACAGTTTGAAACTGGATACACGTTTAAAAAATGTTTACTGTCAAAAAGTCGAGTCAGGTTTGGACTCACTTCAAGCATCTTAAAGGCAACTTGGCCAACCAACAGACCCCATTAGAAATGCTGTTGTACTTGGCCTTTTCCTCACTGTCCAGTCAAATAATGGCTGGGCTCCCTCTCTCACCACTCAAAGCAGGCGAAGCTTGTTCTCTCTGTAAATCTTCTCTGTTCTTCATTCTTCTCCATTGAAAATACACAAGACAGAGTAAGACAGGACAAGAGGTGATTAAGAGTTATGGAAACAATAACAAAAAGATTATGTAAATAGAGCAAATATTACAGAAAAGGCTGAAGCCGTAAAATAAGCTTCCATTTATCTCCAGTTTGTGGGGCTTGGATCCAAAGGCAACATATATGGGACAAATAAATGGATGATTTACAAGCAATTTATTTTTGATGATGCTTTAAATCCTTTTAGTCCTCTTTTTTATCCACCTTAATGCAATAGCTTATTTTCCCAGAGGACTTAAAAAGTATCCCATGATGTGTAGCACTCGCTAAGGTCACCAGGGAACTCCGAGAGGAAGTGAGTTACTCAGGGAGTTACAATCAGAGTGCCAAACAGCAGAATTGCGAAGTAAAAGTGGGCTTTTACTGAGAAATGGAGCATCTGAACTGCTGTAGTTTACAACGTTGAGAGGGCCGGTCTGCTATTTGTGTGTTCAGCTTTGAATAATTTTTTCTCAATCTGTCAGTTGTTGTTAAATAAATCTGCTTCCCCGTGTGTGTGTGTGTCAATCTGTGTGTCTCTCTACACATTTGCTTCTATATATTTAGGTTCATGCCTGACTGTGCATGTCTGTCATCATGTTTGTGTGTGTTTCTGTCTGTATCTCAAAAATGTATATGTTGGAGTTTGTGTCATGTGATATGTTTGACAGTGTGTGTGTGTGTGTGTGTGTGTGTGTATTCATGCTTGTGTGTGCGTGTGGGGTCTAGTCCTCTGTATGGCGTCACTGTAATATGGAGGTTTATTTTCACATCTAGGACACTGCCCAGGCAGCTGTGTCACTCACCAAGGGCGCTCCTTTGTGTGTGTGTGTGTGTGTGTGTGTGTATGAATGTGGGACAAAGAAGGAGTGATGAAGAAACACATAGACCCAAGACAGATCCAAAGTTCATATTTCTATGTAAGTAGTATGAACAGCATGTGGTGAGAATGAATTGAAACATTGTTTTCACACTCAAAGAAGGACAATAAAGAAATGCCTCCACATTTGATTGACAAACTATGACATGCTGTATGCCTTTTGTGATTAACCCGATTCAATCATAACAAAGAACAATTGTCCGAAAATGATTTTGGTGATTCTGAAATGTTCTTCTTGAAGACTTCAAGGAAATATGAAAACCGACGCTCCTTTTCATCATGACTGCATGTCAATTAGTTGGAAATACTAGAATTTTGCTAAATGCACTTCTTTGTTTTCATCTTTGGATGAAAGCATGAAATATAGCTAAGATTAGCTGACAGAGAACAGTAACCACTCCAAGACTAAGACATTTTTCAATACACTGTTTGACAGTAGGGGAGCGTATTTTTTTCACTTCAAAATAGCCGATGTAAAATGAGCCTAATTCACATATTCAATTATATTATATTGTACAGTATTTCCTGCTACATTCATAGGTTTTCCATAAAACTTGTGTGACCAACGGCAAGACTGAGACAGAGAAAAGCTGGCATGAGAAAGACAGAAAGAGTGTGTGTCTGTGTGCTCCTAACTGAGTTCTAACACCTAAGTTCAAAGGTCATCCCACCCAGAGTCTGGTCCGAGGGCTCGCAGGCTCGCTTCCCTCGAGAGGTCAGACAAACAGACGGGTGTGTGTTCTCCACCAGTTAACGATTGGTTAAATAAATGGACAGGTTCCCTGCGGTGTCATCCATTCACACAGACACTCTGACTCGCTGAAAGGTCGCAGGTGATGGAGGGACACACACACTCAAATACACACTCAAACACACACAAGCAGGACGTCAACTGGTGTCTTAACAGCAGCTGAGGTGGTTTGAGTTTTAACACACATACAGCTGACACAACCTGGGACTCGTTTCATGCATACCTGGGCATGCACAGATACAAACACGCTAGCTCTCTGATCATAAGCATGTACACCAAACAAATGCAGCAGTGTTTGGGAAGAAAGCTGCACTACCATCCCCATCATAAACTATTGAACAACAGATTGAAACTCCTTTATTCATAAAGATGATGGGTTGCTTCAAACTGTTCATGTCATTCTAGTCTTTCCCTCCTGTACCCACAGACATTTGCGGGTACGGTCGACAGCAAACCTAAACTTTGAGAAAAGTGTTTGGCTTTTTAGCTGAATAATTGCAACACAACACAAATACACACAGGGTTTGATTGGTTGCCAGCAAACTGGTTAGTTCATCTCTTGTGTTCCCAACGTGCGTCTTGATACCAACGCACAAGGCACCCGTTAGTATTTATGAGATGCACCGGGCTTTCAACTAACTCCAATGTAAACCCATCTGCGACAGAGACGCTCAGAGCAACAGATGTAGAATCAAGAGCGAGAAGTCCTCCAAGGGCGGGAGTGAGGGGAGGTACATGGGTCTCACAAACACAGGTCTTTCACTCAGGGGACCAACGTGACTTTTACTGACGTTATGTCACATGATGTTCCATAGCAGGCCGCCAATGAGTCACATGGTGTTTCTGTATGTCTGTATCTTATATGTTACGTTACAAGTGTACATATTTTGAGCCAAACCTTGTTTTTTCAAACCCTGAGTAGTTGTGTTGCCTAAACCCTAACCACTATCAACCACATGTGAACCTGCAGCTTGAAAATACTAGTCAATAGTATGAGATCACCTTGGAGGATGACCTACTTTTTAAAACATGTCTGTTTTGTCCTTTGGTCCAATAGCCTTCAAGGATTCCACTGACTAATTTCTGTTTCTTTTTTTGTTTTCCTTATTACAACCATGCAGACATGCTGTGCTGCGTATTGTAACTGGGCATAAAGTTATTCAGCATGAGCAGAGGAAGACATGCGCTGTTGTTCATGATGTGCAATAAAACCTGTGGTCCAAAAACCACAAAGAGGATGACAAATTGAGAGGGAGGCAGAAAATGACACCAAGGCGAGCACACACACTGTGACGAGCAACTTAATCTGCTGCAATGCACCTTCTGGACTTTATGTGCACACACAGTCCACCACACACACTCTTCTCACTGAAAAGGTTGGCAGTCTGCCACCCCAATGTCTCACTTCCCTTTCCTGAGCTCTTTGCCAACATCCAGCTTTCCTCTCTCCTCGTGCCCAGTTTGACCCCCCTCCTGCTGGGCCAGGCAGGGCGGCACACTGGGCTGCGATCTGGAGGACCGCCGTGAAACAGCGAGCTACGAGTCCGTCTTAATGGCTCCATTCATTGATTCTTGTATTTCAAATGGCTCCAAGAGCAAGTCTCTGCAGAGGGTCCCACTGAGCTAAGTGGCTGTGTCGAGAGCCAGCCTGTGAGGTTGAAAAGACGTATAGAGGACCCAACACTGCGGCTGAGTAGCCCTACTGAAAGACTATAGTAGAGCTGCCTGCTGAGGCTTAACCTTGAACCCTGAGGATCTGGGCTCAGAGCAGGGCCAGTCTGAGTTGTGTTTTGGCACCAACCATATTTTTCCCATTACCCCAATGTTCTTTAGAGGATTGCTTAGAGGCCACCCATTGATTCCCTTATCATATCATATGCACAGTACTTCATGTGTATTATGATACAGTGGCATCCTGTCTCTATGCTGCAATAATAACGCAGACATTTCTTCATGACTTGTTCATACTGTGAACTAGTTAGGAACCCATTCCTTGGAAATTTCAAAAATAAACTTTCACTTTAGTCAGCATTAATGTACTTTACCAACATGGTGTTATTGTAACACTTTATATGTCATTGAGGAATGTATTTGATTTAAACGTAACACTAAATGTAATCATAAAAACCCAACCACAAGTGTTTGTGGTGGTTTTCCAACCCTGAAGTACATGCCATGCACAATGCTGTTTCTTCTCTTTTTCGCATAACACTAAATGTCTTTGTGTACTTCTTGTAATGCTGAATCCACAGAAGATTATCATCAAACTTAGTTTTTTTAAACTCTTTTAGCCCACTGTTTGGGCCTTCAGGTCTGCACATTTGCTTTGTAGTCCAGTTTTCCAGCTCAAACCAATCCTCAATAAACCATAAATCCATGTAGGCAGCCGTTTCTGTGCACTTTACTGACCCAACACCAAAAGCCAGAAAGACAAAGTTAGTGACTGGCTGGTGAGCACAGTGGAGCATTTCGCAGCTAAAGAGCTGGTCGAGTCCAAACCAGAGCTGAAATGAGAGTGAATATTTGACCTGCATTCATCAGGTGGATGGACACATTATCACACTGTTATTAAATTCATAGTTGCCAAAAACCAGTTTGTGACCGATAATAATGTAGTGCAATAACACTTGCTAAGGATTGACAGTAGAACTCAACTTAGTCAGTTGATGTCAAGGTAAACTGCACAGTCCAAATTGAAAAGTTTCTCTAATGGCTACACAGTGCATAAAAAGTGAATATAATTTACGGTTTCCAAACATTTCCTTTAGGAAATGGAGTCAGAGTGCTGCAGTAGGTCAGCATGCATACAATAAAATAAATGTCTTAAACAACTGATACAGTTCTAAATCACATAGTTTCCCTCAAAAACACCAACTGGAAAACAGTTTCTGTGGATGTATTTATCTGTCTGTGTTTTTTTGTGCATGACTGATGTACTGAGACCTTCTCCCTCCCATGATACTTTGTGGGCCCCCTCAGTTCCCCCCAGCAGTTGTCCCCTCACACACACACACACACACACACACTATTCACACACTGCCTGTCTTCACCCCGGCTTACCTCTCCTCTGTGCCCCACGTAGATGAAGGCACACATGGGCTGGAAGGCACCGGTGCCACAGGCCAAGAGGTGGGTGCGGTTGTAGGGCTGCAGGAGGCGAACAAAGTTGGCACACTCCGTCTGCAAAACACAGGTACATACACACGGATTAACAACTTGCATCACAAAGAGATATGTGAAAGTGTAAAATATATGTTATATACAAATTGTTTTAGGTGATCGGTCATCAAATTTCATTTCAAAGTTAATTGTCATGTTTGATCTTTAAGTAAATCTGGAGTTTCACCCACATCCTCCATCACCACTCAATTAAACTCCTGTTTCTAGGATAATTGAAATACTCGTTTGCACCTCAGCTCATAAACTTTGTTTTCACCCACCACCATTTTACTACTGCACATGTGCCACTCTCAGCAGAGATGAGAAGGAAGGGAGGTCACTCACTCCTGAGCTACTTCCACCATCAGCTCTGGAAAAAAATGACGATTTACATGACTTATTAGCCCGATGTTTCATTTTACTTTCCTGGGGCAAAGGGGCAATCCTTTTTGTTGAGCCCTGACAGGATGTAAACATTCACTCTTGCATGCATGTTACACACACATACTATACGGCACACACACACACATACCAGGGAAGGGCCCTTAAATAAATCAAATCTCACAGTACAAAGTTACCTGTCATCCAAATGCAGATAAGTTAATTTTCAGGGTACTGAAGAGAAACAAAAATGATTTCTCAACAAAGCTTATTGAGCCCACATGTTTGTACTGAGGGCCAAGAACAGAGCTTTATTAGACGAAATGCGATATCCTCAGTGTCCCGCATAGGACTTGTATCTCTGATTTTTGGATTTCAGCCAACGTGACATGCTGATGTTGTAAAACAAGTTTCATCACATTCGGGTCAAAACATTGTCAAGATTTGCAAAGCATCAGAAAAGGGATAATCCTGATGTGAGATGTGAGTTTTGGGTCATAACGGATACGAAGACACCAACAATAACGCCGAGTTTAATTTTGATAGCTTCGGTGAACTCCCTAACATACTCAACTGCTGTGTATGTGGAGCTAAAACTGGAGACAGAAGGCCTAAAAATGGAAACAAAGATATTCAAGTGGACAACGTCAAAAGGCCAGACGCTCAAACACTATGAGAGTTAGAACAAAAGAAGTGGTGACTGAGGAAACAAGTATCAAGACATTTCTGTCCTACACAGAGGCCCAGAGGAAGCAGAGGGCATGACTACTTCCTGTCTGTAACAGAAGCGGCTGACAAAACGTGTGTCAGCGGCGAAGGAAGGGATCAGCCAGGTGTCATTCATTCAAGCCGACGAGGTCAAACTCATATCTGCACGATGAGCGTCTGGTGTGTCTCTATTCAAAATGTGTGCATGCATGGTGTGTGTTGATGTCGACTTAAATGAGATTCAAGTGCATTGGTGCATGGTTCTTTGCATTTTGAGCATTTCTGTGTTGTTTGGTAATTCCTGGTGCACTAGTCTCTTTGTGCCTTTACAAATACACGTGTTGTGCGTGAAAGAGTCGAGGAAATCCGTCATTTTGTGTGTGGCCCACGTCCCTCTCACACTCGCAGTCAGACACTCAAACATTTCCTCGAGTGCTTTGCGGCACTGCAGACCTGATGTAAACCATGTCGCTGCAGTATACGAGGAATAGTTTACATCACCATATATTGCCCTTTCCTGCTGGCTCGTTTCTCTCCCCAAACAAGATCAGACCAGAAATAAACTAAACAGAAACACATTTGTATTAAGAATGCCTTCAGTAAATCTCAATTTGCGGTTAAGTATTTGATCTATGAAAAAGAAGGAGCAGCTGGGTTTCACATATGCCCTTATGTTTCTGTTGAGAAAGAGGGGCTATCATGAAGCAAGTGTGACATGTTTCTGTCAAATTATTTATCCCAAATTAGAATTGGATGGCGTAACTCGTGACAAACCGGCCTGCTAATCATCTCCTGGAGGGAAAAAGTCATAGAAGACATATACGAGGTCTAGGAGAGCTTAACAAGTCGACTGAGAATGAACAGAAATGTGTCTCTCCCAATGTTTCCGTTCTAGTACTCAGGGAGTCATCTCAGAGATCTGTGTGGCCAAGAGTGGAACGAAATGTTGAAAAGAGGAAATATGTCTCTGCTCTCCCACCCTGGGATCTGGGGTTTTGAGCATCTGTGTGGTCTTACTGAGATTAAGTGGCAATAAAGGGAGTGGTGTTAAACAGAATATGAAATGGTTTGATTACTGAATCTGGTTCTCTCTCACCGGGAGATTTCAGGGAGTAGTCTTAACATCCAGCCAGCATTTATGCACTGCATATAGCAGGGGTCAGGCTAACTGGTGGACACAAAAGCTCACAATGTCCATTTATTACCCTTTGATCATCAAGGGGAGGTCAGCTGACCACAAATGCTCCTTCCCAGTAATACCACGCTGCTGCTTCACGCTGTTGAAACTTTTAAACTGACCGCGGAAACCACAGCTTTGTGTCTTGGGGGTTGAAAAAGGGTATGTATAGAAATTGAAGCATCAGATTTGCATTTGCTCTGAGACATATGTGTCATTAACATAAACAAACAAGAACATTGCCAAGACCTCTGGCAGCCTCTCCTGGCCTTGACAATTTGCAACACTCAGCCTGATTTCCCATGGGGAATGGTGATTTTGGAGGACATTGTGGTTCCAAAGAAAGCTTAAGATTTCAAAGTTCAATGGCAGAAGAAGGTGTGAAACAACAGCAAAGAAAACAGCAGAGAGGGTGACTCCAGAGAGCGAACAAAAGTCTTCTTCATGACAGAGAGAAAAGTTTTTTTTTCAAAATGTGGACTTTATTTTGAGAAATATGAGCAGTGACAGTACCACAGGCTACAAATGATTTTAATCATGCATGGTCTGATTTGTTTACGGTAAGTATAACACAGCATCAGGATTTGGCGTGGACACATTCATTTTTTAAACATGCTAAATGCAGTCAAGACATTTGCTCAAAGACCAGGAAAATGTTTCTCATACTTGTTCTTCTCCAAGTTTGTCCTAGGCAGGCCAATAATTCAGGACTTTCAACCTCTTTGGCACCCAGATGCATGTTGCGGAATTTTTTTTAAGGGATTTGAAGAGGTTTGCCAAAACAGTGCAGTGATATGTGACCCAAAAGTACTTAAAGGGAAAGATGGCATTATTGATGTGCCATGTCAGAAACAATGAACTAACTAACCAGCAAGGTATTCTCTGCACCTCTTAAATTTTGCTAAATGCCAATCGATTTTTGTTTTAAATCTGATAGATCAAATACTGCTGTACATCTCCAGAGTCGGCATCATCAGTAATCTGGTATTGTTGATGTTGTTGTTCTGGGAGAACGTAGCATGTTTCAAACAGTAAAGAGGAAGGGAGGAAGTTTGGACACTACAGAGCTGCTGCTTGGTTAATTCTACTTGATAGGACTTTGCTTTTCGCCAGTCGATTATGTCCGTGGAGCACAGTGGTAGAGCCAACAGGGAGCTAACAGCAAAGCCAAACATGTTCTATGAAGAGTGACCCAGGCAGGGAAAGGAAAGTTTGGACATGGAGAGCAGTTTCCAGTATAAACAGCCAAAGTTCAGTGGAGAGAAGTCGTATTCTGTCGTACTAACAGGAAATGTGGACCAACACATTCACTCACACACACACACAGATGTGCAATTGTACGAGACTACAGTCAACAGGACCCCGTACACAAACACAACCACGGACACACGTAAATATTGTAAAAGCAGTTCAAAGCCTCAAAGCAGCTGGCCTTTCAAAGTCTTTGGTCTCAGCAGCTGTTTGATCCACAAAGAAACACTGACTTCTAGACAGCACTGAAAACATTCAGTCATGGCAAGAAACTCTCTCCAAAGTGTGCGACAGGATTTTTCCGAACATCTACCAGCCAGCCCCCCAACATGTAACCAATCAAATATTCATGTTAGAATAAAAAAAAATAAAACCCACAGTCACTTACTTAGCTTCCTGGCAGCCAGGCATAAGAGCTGCAACCAACATTTAGACAACAAAAAGAGCAAGAGACAGACCACACAGGGTCTCTGTGTCTCTGTTCTCTGCAACATCTTTTTCTCATTGATATAAAGGGGAGTCCTGTATTTCACCACTGTAAACGACAATGTTTTCAGTTTTAAAAGATTGTTTTTGTTAGTTTTTTAGCATGAAACAAACATAATTTATTAATGCATGAGAATGAGATTACGTACAATATACTGGCCGCAGCTTCTGTCCCCTTCAGGACTCAATACTTTAAGGAATTATATTTAGGTGCCATTCTTAAGAAGAAAGTGGAAGTTTCAATTGTAGTGCTGCTGCGTAGTTGACTCTGGTCACTTTATGCTTTCATAAGTATATTTACTAAAATTGTAAATTACAAAACAAGTAGTTTTTCAGTGCTTTATTATAAAGTGATTCCAAAAAGTAATCCCATTCCAACCCTTACTTATTAGAGTGTTTTCTACTCTGCCCTTTCAAATTGAGTTGTGGATATATAGCTTTTAGCAACTGAACATACTGAGTTCAGGAAACGTTGAACGAAAACCAACATTTACAGTCGGTAGGTCTAGACAGGACAGCCTCTCACTTTCCTGCACTCAAGACACCAAAAACACTAGATTCAAACAAAGTGGAACTGATCACAGCTCTGCTGATGAAGCCAAACCACGTGGGAAGCCAGATTACTGGCACCATCAAGCTTGTCGCGACAGAATAAAGCGAACAAACTCTCGAAGGAATGAACGGAACTCTGACATGCACACACAATTCCTCGCTCATTTTCTCAAAGCTGAATTGTTCACGCACTCAAAACGCTGAACTTGCGATCTCTGCTACGATCCCTACTCTGCGCTCAAAAGGTGTTCTTTGTGCAAATAACTTCCTGATTAGATAATCAGTCCTATTGTTAGCAGATAGATGCAGCAGAAGAATGTGTTAACAGCAAGAGCAAGACCCTGCATGCTTGGCTGAAGTCACTGAATACCTCCCCTCGGCATGTTATTTATTTGTCTGAGCTGTAATTAATGATGGTGAAGGTTACGAGGTTGTGACTCTGGGAAGAAACGCTATCAGTAAGAACATGTTTAAGGTGGTAGACACTTGTCAGTAGTAGGCTGTGGAGACAGAGGCTTTCATTAAAGAGATAAAAAAGGACTGGTTAACATATTTTTCACTCACTTTTAGTGTCAGGGTATGAGGACGGTCATGCAGCTGCAGTAGAGGACCGGAACTTTCTATTTTTCATTCTGTCTCTGTCTCATAAGTATGTCTTTCTCTCTATCACCAAACGCACACACGCACACACAAAAGTCCAAAAAAAAAAACAATGTGAAGACCTTTCACCTTTCAACCTCTACCACATTTCGTCAAACTCAGTTATGTTTAACAGACGCAGACAGCAAACAAAGAAGATGGAACGTAAGTGTGCGTGTGTATGTGTGCCTCTGTTGCTTTGTAGATGCCAGTGGATACTGCAGCAATCCATCTAGTTTGACACCAAAAGAAACTCTGTAACATAGAGACGTGAAGGAATGCAGAAAGATGCCCTGTGTAGTTTAACAAAAGCAGACAAACATCTCTATCTGTTACTCACACAATTTCACACACACACACACACACACACACACACACAATTTATGACTCCTTTGGCACCAGTAAGGTAGAGTTACACACATCACCATGGCCAGTACAGTAGCGCTCACGAGCACACACACACCTAGCGTTGTGTGAGCCCCGCGCAGAGGAAACACCTAATAAAACGGATATAAGACACCCAAGACACACCTGCCACTTCAAACACAGAACATATAGCCTTTAGACACACACACAAACACCTTCTTACCAGCTCCAGATGGCAGTGGCTGTCAGACTTCTTTTGCCATGAGCAACAGAAGACACAAAAAGTCACAGTCATTTTAAAACTATAAAAACAGCGTCTTCATCTTGTGTGTGCGTGGTGTGTGTGTGTGTGTGTGTGTGTGTGTGATGTGTGTGTGTAAACCAGTAATTGGTTCCAGTTTATGTATTCTGAGCTCCACTGAAGCCACAGAGAGCTTTTTCTCCAACTGGGACCAAATTTAACGACGTCTCAATACATCAAAGAAAAGACACATCATTACAAAATCTCTTCCTTCTCCTGCTTTCTTTCTGTGATTCTCTTTCTTTCTTTCTTTCTTAATTTCCATTTTCTGTCCAATTTTTGCTTTGTTTGTTTATGTTGTCATATTGACAAGTCTAAGAGTCCACAGCCATTTCAGCAGCTCTGTGAGAATGACCTTAAACACAATGGTCCTAGTGGTCCTGGTCTTAGTGTAGCCATTACATTTGCACAAGTTATTGATCTCAAGAAACAGATTCTGCATTCATTTGAAGAATGTGCAGGCATGGGGACAAGATTTTGGCATTTGAAGCATTCTGGTTTCCATTTGTGGTCTAAGTAGTATTGACCAATCCTGTTGAAGCTTTGGTTGAATGCAGGTTAACAGTCAGCGTGGAGAGCAAAAGAGATGGAAGGCATGATTTAGAGTTTCATCGGTTTAAAATTATCTTGTATCTAAAGTTGCTAATTGGACCGTAAACAATGAGCAGTGCACGGAAAAGAAAGTCTTGGCCCGAATGTCTGCTGGCTACACCGGAACCCTAGAAATAAAGACCCCTACCCCGAAAGCCCATGGATTCTGAGATTGATTAGTTACAAACAAAGTATGGGACCAATTAAAGTTTGACGTGATGGGTGAAAAGTTTAGGGATCACAAAAGTTAGTATAATTCACCCTAACCAGACATTTCACTCAAGAACACGAATGTTAACCCTTATTATAGCACTGAATCATTTTAAATAAATCACCAAAGTCAATAGGTTTCATCCTCTGGGGAGCATGAATGTCTACACAAAACTTCACTGAAATATTTCAGTCTTGACCTAAGTGGTGGATCAACCTACAGACTGGCATTGCGCTACTAGCATGACTTGAGGTTGCACTACCTGCTTTCTATGTCAGGTCTTTCTTTCATGTTTATGATGTTCCTATAACCGTGATGATCTTCGTCTTCTGCTTTCTTCCCCTCCTCATCTGCTGTGAAGTACAACATACCTCATCCAGGCTAATAAACAGAAAGCTGAGTCAGCTTGTGAGGAGGTGAAACGACTCAAGGTGCTGACACATTCCTGGACACTGGTTCCATTCATTATACTGTTTTTTAAAGCTGAAATTGTACTCCGAAATGGTTTGTTTCTTTACATTAGTTGAGGTATTGGATTCAGAATGCCCCTCTCCTCTTTTCTCTGGTTGTAAACATGGTCATAATTACATGAACACTCTCCTAACTTTGTTTTTCTTCTCTCATATTCCCCTCTCGTCCCGTATGCAATACTTGACACCTCCCTCCTCATCTCCTTTTATTATCCTTAATTCCATCTCCTCCTTCCTCGCGCTGTATTTCCAGGGCTCATTAAGAGAGGAAGTCTTGCCTCAATTTTCCTCTTTCACAGAACCAGTAAGTCTTTATTTTGGCTTACTCAGACTTCTTCAGGGTCATTAATACTTTATAGTTTATTGTGGGAGCAACATGGCACTTAATTGTCTAAGTAATATACTAGTATTAATAAAGTAACTATATATCTATCTATCTTTGTATGCTATTTACTGTACACTAGTTTGTTATACTGTTGGAGGCATATTCTGCACTTTCCATCACACATGTGCCATTTGAGGACTGTTGTTAAAAAGGGGCCACGAACAACTGAGAGCAGAGCAGAGACCGATGTGGAAACATGTTTCAGCCAGAATCTCTGAAAGCACATACACCAACTTGACAAGCCAGAGTTTGGAGTACACAAGTAACCTGCGGAGAGACGTTTCTCTGCTCTTAACTGGAGGCGTTTTGTCAACAGCTGCTCAACAGTGTAGGTCAACGCACTCACCTCATTAATGGAAAAAAAAACAGAGTCTGTTGTGTTCATTTTTGATCACATTGTCTGTCAGAGTTCAAGTTACTGGAAACAGTAATGACAATCCAAGTGGAGACACCAATTTCAGCTGGTAGAATAAAATGCTGCCAAAATAGGCAGGCGGCCAGGCAAACAAATTCAACAATCAGCAAACAGACAGGACATTGGCAACGGAGCTGGTTATCAAGTACAGGCAGGAAACTGCTCTTGATGGCTACAGCAGCAAAGCCACATAGACAATCTTGGAAAGACTGAATGAAAACTGGCCTCTACTATATATATATATTCTGTTTACTCCAAGGCATCTTCAATGAGTAGCAGCTTGGTAGGCTGGTGTATGGGTGTCAGGTGAGAAGGCCAGTGAAGCAGGACAGGGTATGAAAAAAGTGGGAACAGAGAAAATGTCTCCGGGTGTATTTAGACTCATGATTCAGGCTGTTCTTACAAAAAGTAATCCACTATAATTTGTATATATGACACAAAATTGATTTGTATGTAATCCATGTAATCGAGAACCAGGAAATACAACATACATTAGGTTATAGAGAGCGACTATGGCAGCATAGGTTGGGCCTGATGGGTGATTCCAAAAACGTTGCTGCTGTTTGTGTCCCGTGTAAGACGGTGTTGATTTATTTGGTATGTAACTTCCGTACTTAAATAACCCCACCTCAGTAGTTATTTTAACCCCAACCACAATCTTTTCATAAAACTAACCAAGTAGTTTCGTTGCCTAAACCTAACCAAGTTGTTTCCAGTGATGACAGGAGTTGTTGTTTTTTTTAAACACTGTTATGGACACATTTTGCTGGACATAGAAAAACGCACAAAAATGAAGAATAAGTTCTCAAAATATATGAGAAAGAACAGTAAATGAGGATACGTTGCATGTTTAATTTGTTGAATGTGTTAAAACAAGCAAGCATCAGGAGTTACCTGTGGTTCCTTCCCCGTTTGAATGCAGTCCTCTCTGTTGCCAGGTAATGGAGGCCAGGAGATCTATAATGGAAGAGAAGAAGAGAGAAAAACGTGTCATGATTAATGACCTCATATGATTAATGACCTCATATCTTTGAATAAATGCAAACAACCACCTTATTCAGACATATTGAAAAATGTAATTGCTTTGTTGAACCCAGACATTCTTTATGCGAGTATGGTAATGCAATCAAAAGATATGAATCAGCCCATGTGCGGTTAAATTTGAATTATTTTCCCTGCAAATTCAACAGCAATTAGAGGCAAATTGAGCAGAGCAGATGCTCTACATATGATGGAACAAAGGGAGTGAAGAGCTGAGGACTTTGGGAGTTAACTGTTGGCTTCTAAAGCTGAAACTTTGATTGAGACATGACAGACACATTTATCATTCCAGTTATATAAAAGGGTTGGTTCTTCCAAATAAAAACCTAACAAATTGTCTAACAAACTTCTAGAGGTAGCCGAGCAGATTAACCTTGTTTTTATATGTCCAGGTTGGGAGAATATCTGTCTGATATTTCTGCCTGCACTTATAGTATTTTTTTCGGTGAAATTATCGGCTTGGAAAACCCTCTACTTGTCTATATGGACTATACATACCCAACAATATAAAAAACAGAAACAAAGGGAATCTTTGTGATGCTATGAAAAACTTTTTCAAAAGGTTTGACGCACAGGCTCCGTCCTCGTCACTGTCAATCTTCTGTTTTGTGCCTGAAATAAAATTACAGCTTTGGTTTTAACCAAGCAGTAAAGCAGCTCAGCCAAACCTTCAGAGTATCCTAACGAGACCATCTGGAGCTTAAAAAAAGTGCAAATAAATATATTAATAAATCAATTTTCAACTCAAAATCTCACAGTATAGATCTAAGATTTCCTGATTAGGAAAGTCCCGAAGTCTTCCTCTCATTCTGCCAGTGAAACAAGGAGAAGAGGTGAATCTCAGAAAAGCATGACATATCATTTGGACCTGAAACAATGGGACTAGTTTTCACACTGCTTTCAGAAAATGAAAAATGAAATCCAATTTCCACTGAAGAGGAAAAACCAAGCCTGTCTCAGTACTGAGACTATGACGTGTGTTGTGATACTGTAGTTTCGTACAGACTACCAGATAATTACTGGTAGTCTGTACACAATAACTCTTTGTCTGGGAACTGGCTTTGTTTTGGTCAACAGGGAGAAAAGAAACCAGAGAAAAAAGCAAATGCTCCTGACTTGCATCACTATGTGTGATTAAGTGCGTATGGAGATCATGTGTGTCGAGGGGCCACTGTGGTAGCTATGGTGTTCTGTGTGAGGATGGGAAGTTATTTAGAAACCAAAATAGAGAGAGTTGAAAAGATGAGTGAATGTTTCTGCTCCCTGAATTTCATATCAGCAGTAAAATCTGAGACAACTTTTGTTATAATTCCAATGCATCACAGGCAACACAATGGACTCACTGTAAATCAGGATGACTGAAACCTGGCTCACAAAGATTTAAATTCTCTGACAAGTCCTGTACGGATGAAGGATGTGACATTGGAGCACCTGGAAATACTTTAACCCCCTTAAGGTAATAGAAAATGATAATTCTTAATACAAATTCAATGTAAAAAATGAATGAAATATGGGATAGGATATGAATCAAATTGAGAGTGCATTAGAGAAGTCTTTATGGCGATGCAAACTGGCCTTTGGCTCAAAGGAATGTATTTCATATCAACTAGTGGTACAAGTACACATATTTGTAGCCTATAGGCAGGATTATAGGTACAAAGAGGCAACAAAATTAAACCGTTACTAGCTCAGTGAAAACTCATCATCTGATTGGAGGGTCCCTCTGACACCCACCCTACAGTACTGTTGTCTAAAAGCCAACTTGTAAATGTGTGAATCCATTAGAAATAACAATTTGTTTCATGCCTGACTGAAATGAGTAAATAAATTAGAGCCGGTCTAAAACTTGGCATCAAATAGTCCTAATCTCTGGATCAGTTTCTTTGGCACGATGCGGGACTGATATGAATGTGCGCAGGTCAAAAGGCCTGGCTCACACACTCAGTCTGACCTAAGGCAGCCTGATAGCATGCCTGACTGATACTGATATACTGTGGAATCAGGCCCTGCCTCAGATCTGGCTGGCAATGATCTGAGTCAGTGTACTGCAATATTCTATCCATCGTCCAAGAGTCTCGCTCCGCACGCTTTAAGAAACACGGCCAACCTCCACCAGTCATCCACGTTCCTTCCTCTGTTTAACACACCATCAGTGTGACTCTTTGCTCTTTTATTTTTTAATCCCCCCCCTCAGACATAATTCACTTCAGTTACGTTTTTGATATTTGAACTTAGAATAGTGTTTATTTCAACTGCAGAAAAATCTATCCAGAGCTGGAAACAAGTGAGGGCCAGAGGCCATCTCTAAAATCACCAAAGAAGCGCAGCAACACAACATACACTGCACGCAGGCGAGTAAACACTGAGCAAAATCAACCAGCTGTCTGAACATGCTGAAACATATTTGAGGTGCCAACCACATTTCCACGCCAAAAGTAAAAAGAAACCAACATTTTTTTAAACAATAATCAAAGCTTTCTGCTTGTGTTTTTAAGGAGAAAATTGAATATTTACTCCATCATGTAAAACATTTACATGAACTAAATCACTATTTGCTGTTGTTTTTCCTGGGTAATTACCATTAAGGCCAATTGTTCCACTTTCCAGATTTGATTCAGGAAGAACTGGATTCAGTTTGAGCGGAAACACGCAAGGTTCACTGATTTAATGCCATCATTTCAACCAAAGCCTTATGTTTAGAATTACACCTCACTCCCATTTCCATTTGTACTACACACTCGTGGAAAGGTTGGCAAACAATAGGTATTTATTTATGCCAAAGAGATATTGTAAACTCTGGTGGGCAGAGTTTGAGCTGGACAACTGAGTAGAAACATTTCAGTAAACATAACATGATTAGACGTCATTATTAGACGTATTAGTGCGTGTTGCTGCAGCAAGGAAGGGACTGACATTCAACCCAAACACAAACATCTTAACAAAATAGATTTAAAGGAATAGTTAACAATTTTGGGACATACACACTGTTCTGTTCACACTGTTTATACTGTTCTTTTTCTTTTCAGCGTTGGTTTATGGAGTATTTGACAGATGCGTGTCATCTCTTAAACCTTTGTTTCACTGAACTGGCTTTAGAAGGCCGGGCATTAAGGCTCAAACAGATTGCAGCAAACTAGAGTATCGGCAAGCTTCATATGTGATCATCAGCCAAGACAGAGAGCTGTGAGAGGAGGCTAAGACAGCAATAATAGGGCCGATGAGGTGGGCGACATCTGGCCCTCTTTGTACATAAATTCCCTGTTCACTCATGCACTTTGTCACATACACACACACACACTGATTATTTTAGCTAAAGTGCAGAAGCACTCAGGGTTTTTTTCTGTTTTAGAGAGTTATTTCTGTTCTGTGCTTACTAAACCAGTTTAATGGAACATCGAGTATAACCGCCCTGCTGGGAAGTTAAATATGATTTAATGTATGCTGCACATTTTCCCAGAACAATTATTCTACAGATATGGAGATGAAATGTTTGAATCTAAATCTGTTTATTTCCCTCGGTTTAAAGCCCTCCTATAAATCCTCTCTGAAAACTCACAAGATATAACTCAAAGGTATACTAACTCCACCAATCACAGCTAAACGTATCTACGTCTTTTGTTCTACAGGGAAAATGACATGACATTTAAATTCCACTCTAATCCGAGAAACATGTTCTTCCACTGTTGTCAACATACTGTATCTGCTATCCTGCTGCAGCACTGCATCACAGTGACAGACACACTGATTGTTTAAATGAATACATTTCATTTAAACATAGAACAGTTATTAATGCTGAAGCAATAATAAAAGCATTCTTCTCTCTCTCTCTGTTAGTCTGACTCAGTGTTTGCTGACAGTGGAAATCTGCAGCTCAGTGAACAGATCTGACTTCTAGATCATAATTCATCTCTCACGTCTTTCTGGAAGCCAAATAAACTGTAACGTTCGCAGCATAACCACTGTGTTTGACAAGCCTGAATGATAAATTAAACGTACTGATTAAAGGTGCCATATATGTAAAAACAAGGTCTGATTAATGATTAGCTGCACTTTTACAGGTGTGAGATTGTAGAAATGTTTTGGCAAAGGAAGCAAGATGTAAAACTAGCTTGTTTAGGTTAGAACAAACCCTTTTTATAGAACAAGAGGTGCAAACCCTAAAAATCTCACTGCAATAAATTTGCATCTATACTGTATGTATATAGTATAATTGATCAGTACAAGATCAAGTGTCATCTATTTATTTTTTTTAAAACTAAGCTTTCTTTAAGCTTTTGTTCAATAGTTTCATCAATGTTTTCTGTTCCAATTTCAGTGATGATACAACAGCCGTAAAATTGAATAAAAATGTCTGTTCAGGTTTGAGTCATCACGTTAACAGTTGATTTATGAGTGTAAGAAGGCTTTAACAGATGTTCTGCAAAGAGAGAATTCTGGAAAAAACACAAAAATTGTACACATATCACTTCAAGTCATATATTATCTTCTAGAGATTGAAACCACTGCAGCATAAATCAAAATGAAGCAATGAATGTAGACCGTACAGTGACTAACCTTTCACAAAACATCAATCACCGGAGCAGAATACCAATAAAATACGTAAATAACTCAACTTTATGCTATTTATTGTCTCCAAAAAACGCCTCACCTCTTTGGACTCGCTGCTGGCAGGTCCCAGCATGAGAGAGTAGAGGATATCTTGTCCTCCCAGGAAGAGGCGGTCACGGTACTCGTCCAGGAAGACGGCGGTGAGAGAGAGCTGGCCATGGTGGCCGCTGAAGATAGACGACCTGTTGGTGGACAGCAGGTCTGCAGAGAGAGAGAGAGAGAGAGAGAGAGAGAGAGAGAGAGAGAGAGAGAGAGAGAGAGAAGAAATGGGTGAGCAAAGTCATCCGTTTTATTTTTTACACAACTTAAAGAATTTGCTTTTAAGCAACAGAGCATGAAATCCAAGCGGGAGAAGATTGAACAGAGAGAACAGTGGTGAGTTAAAAGAAGTATGACAGCGATGAAGAAGATTGTCTTCTGTTCTTTCAACATCACTGATCTATTTTAAAATGTACCCTATTTTCACGTTGAAGCCTGTTGGATCCCGTTGTGTGTGTGCAAGGCTTGTTTCCGTTTCCAACAGTGAAACAGATACATTTCCCCAACAGTTTAATGTTATTTGATGGCGATTTCCTCCTGCCTGTTCTCCAGTATCTGACAGTGAACAAACATTGAATGACAGTTCGAACTCTTGTTTAATCCCTCAAATGCTGCATGTAAAGCCTTTTGCGTTATATTGTTATCATAAGAGGGTTGTGTAAAAACTATTTTCCCCGATCGCATTACAAAGGAGACTGACTGATCTGATATGAGAAGATTAATCTTCTCAACACCTTAAAGTTGTCGCCCTTATGGTGCTGCTGCCTTAAAGTTAATCTGACAGTCTGACGAAACGGAGTTCAGACTTGTACTGTATTGAAAGTGATGTGTACATTTTCTCTTCAGTACCACCAAGAAATCATATCTCTCTCATGGGAATCCACATGTAGCATCGCCTTTTGTTCCGCTAAACATAGTTATCTCCAAAAACCCGCTCCTGTTGCTGCCGTCAACGCATCATTCCTGTGCATTAAAGGATGTTCCCAGAGAAGACAGTACCAGTCAGAACAGGAAATATGAAACATTAATGCGTGATAGAATGTAAGAAAACAGGCAATGATTCATCAAAGCCAGCATCTCAGCAGAGTAACTATTGTATTTAAATCCAGTGAACAAGCTGAAAACCTCAACTGTTACATTACTGAAGTGCACAACTTTATGAGAGCACACACACACACACACACGCACACACACGTGATACACACATATAAGTGAGCATGTATCAGTGTCTGTCTGCACACACTAGCCTGCACCTGGCTCTCCTCTCTGATCTTGCAGCAGCTTTAAAGTCAAAAGGTTGATGCAACGACTGCAGGAGTGGTAGAGACCGGGTTGAATTCAAGTTCAGATAGACGTGAGGTGTCTTACACACACACACACACACACACACACACACACACACACACACACACA